CAATACGTATTTATTTCGGATAAGATAAATACACCAATAATTATTAGGAACACTTGTAAAACAAGGTGAATGTGATTGGTTTTTGCAAACAATAATTTAATGTCTTCTAGCACTACACAAAATGCATTTAATGCAATGGGATGGCTTGCCCCCCCCCCTACCGCCCCCCCTCCCCCGGCCTCTGTTGCATGGCACCTTAATCTTAATGCATGTTCAGTGAAAATCAGTCCATTACTGGCAATGAGTGCTTGGATTTTAGCCAAGTGATTGGCTGGGGTGGTAAGTAGAGGATGTCCTCTACACAAAGTGTAGTGCAGGGTGACCCCTCCTGCGATACATGTGTCCCTGTGTAATCAGTAACGAATTAAAAGGAAAATGATGTTCAGCATTCAAACAACAATGTTTAACTGCAACTTTAATAGCACTAGAATATAGAATATACCCTCTTCATTTGCCGATATCCTGTAGATAAAATATAAAAATACTAAATGTAAAGTTTGTCTCTAATCGCAGTGAAATGAACCGTGTGTCTTTACAGATGTTTGTTTGTAAGAGGAGCTGTGTTAAGACATCATCTGTACAGCCTTTTGCACTGAGAACCTAAAGAGCTTCATAGACAGTAGCAGTAGCGTGGTGTGAGGGACAGACCAAGGAGCCGCAGTCTGCTGACAGACTGAACTATCCTCAGTCTTTGCCTTCCCACTCGACCTGGTTGTAAACATTGTTTCCTTACTCAGTCATGAAAATGTCAAAATAATAGCAAATGAAAAAATCACCTCCCCCCCCCCCCATGGAGGGCTCTAGGATGGAGTAAGGCAGCTAAAATGGCGTCTACATAAGTGATGTCACAGACGCCATGTCTGAAGCTTTTGTGCTTTAAAGCCTGTATGATAGACCCTGTTTGTTGCCTGCATTCATCTGTATGCCATGTACTGCAGGTGTGCCAGAGCTCTCATTACAGTTAAATGTGCAGGCAACATATACTTTTAAATGCTTTACTTAAAAGGTTTCATTCATTTGTATCAGAACAAAAAAAAACCAGTTCATATGTACAGTATTTGTGTTATGACACGTGGGGGTGTGTGGTGTAAAAAAGCTTATCGAACAGAATGTTGGTGTTACCACGGTGGGTGAATGGTGGATGCTTAGGGTAGTTTACTCCCTAAGAGTCGCCTGTCCTGGTTTCACACTGCTTACATACGGCACGGCTACCTCGGCTAGGACGTTTAAGGTGTAAGTGTAGGCTGTTGGCAGAATTATAAAATGCAAGAGGCACAGGACCACTCATGAGCGCGCCCCCACCGATCTGTCATGGCCGGCGTGACGGAAATGTCAGGGGATGTCTGTCTGTGTTAGGGGTAGCAGAGCTCTCTGCTCCGACGCGCTCGCAGTCTACATACCACTGTTCAGCATTTCCTTACATATTCACCTCTACCATGCCTGCACACACTGTTACTTTTGTTTCCACTTGTGAACCAGATTGAAGAGAAAGGCAACAATAACTGGTCCAAGGTGCTAAGTGCTTGGATTTTGGTTTTTTTATTTAATTTTTTTTTTTTTTTTTTGTGTGTGTGTGTGTGTCGATTTTTATTTAAAACACTCATGAAAATGAAATAATGCCATTGGAGCTGCCTGACTGGGCTCCTCTGCTTGGTTTACACTGTTATCAGTTTTAAAGAAATGCATAGCTTTATGAAACACCTTCATCTGTTCTCTTGGTTCATGAACAGGAGAAAAATCTTATTTTGTGTGTATTAAATGGAAGTAGTGTTTTGAAAGATGCATTTGGTTTCCAATAAAATGCTGAATTTGTTCAAGTCATGCACTGACTCTTTATTTACCCCTAATGTCACTGGTACGAATGAGTTTACCTGTTCTGAATGTACAGGAATGTTATATGTACTTAAAACCGCTGCTAGGGCAGCAATTTAAGAATAAATATATTGACCAGGGCTCTTCAAATCTGGCCCTCGATTCCAAATCCAGGCCGTGTTTTCAGTTCTCCCAGGTAGTTAGTTTATTAATTACTGATTCTGATTGGCTGGAGGCTTTGCACCTGGCTGACCGGTAAAGGAAGGCTGGAAAACCAGGAGTGCTCAGCCCTTGAGGACCAGGATTTGAATAGCCCTGATATACAGCTGTGGAAAAAAATTAAGATAACAGCACAATTTTTTGTTTCATTCATTTCTCAGTTGGGTGTGTGTCTGTAAATAATATTTTTTTTTTGCAAACTGCAGCCTGGCTCTTCCCTGTGCTCTTCCCTGTTTCTCATTAATGAAGGGCTTCTTCCCTGCTTTATGGGACTTCAGTCCTGCTTCTTGGAGCCTGATATGAACTGTCCTAGCAGTGCACTTCACACCTGCACTTAATGTTTCCCGTTCCTTTTCAGAATTACTTGTCATTCTGCGATTTGTGAGAAACTGGCAGATAAGTTGAGGTCATCTCTCGCATTAGAAAGTCGTTCTCCTTTACCTGTCTGGTTTCTGGTTGTTCCCATTGTCTCCTGCTTCACTTTGTTCTTGTGTACTGCTGTCTTAGGCATTTTGAACCTGGAAGCCTCCTGCTGCTCAGCGTAGCCTTCTGCCAACAGAACCAGGATTAAACCAGGATTAGAATATGAGGATTTGTCATACAGTGGTCTCAATTTTTCCCACTGCTGCAGACTATGTGCTTTTAGGCTCCCCAAGAAACTGCAGTTCTGGGGTCCTCTGGTGCCACCTAGTGACTGAAACATGCCAATCAATCACGTGAACTGGGTTGTGATGATTTCCCCCATGATTGTGCAATAGATAGCAATGGATGGATAACAACTTTTCTATATGACCCTCAGTTAAATATCCTCAAGAACGTGGCTGGAGAAAAAGACACAAATAATTAAAAGTCTACAGTGCAAATGCGTTGTGTTGTGTTTTCTATTACTCTGAATCATGGTGAAAAAAGTGCTCCTTTTTGTTGGTCTGTCTTTCTGATATTCCAAATTCATGAGCATCCTGTGTTACTGTTTACTGCCTTGTCTCCCTGGCTGCTCTCATTTGAGGCTGATCCCTGTCGCCCTCCTCATTCGCGCAACTTTACTGCACATTCCGAGGGCCCATCAGATTATCCCACTGGTTCCTGCAAGTTTGGGTTCCGCTGTTTTTCCTGCTTCCTCCGCCCACAATTTCAGGGCCTCTGAAGGGCCGGGAGGCTGAGAATTCCCCCTGCCTCCCATTTCCCCAGAGACTTCCCTGTCTCAGGGCACCTTTCTCTGCTTCTAACCTGTGACTTTTCCCGGAAGGAAATGAAGTGTTATTGGAACTTCCACTCAGTTTATTCTGAAATCGTATTTATCCATCGCATGGATTTGATACATGAATCCCTTTTTAAAGAATGGGGTGACATTGAAAATGACGTAATGTTTTCCGGATCACATTCTGTGAGACTGAGGTCAGGGGGTCACAGTATTCTGATGTTATGCTCTGAAAGCAAAAATATTTGCATGTTTTTCTGCAATCAGTGCTGTACAATGGCCCAGTTTCCATTATTTTGATTAGATCAGATCTAATTTGGTTAGGTTTACACGAAATCTTTGACAAACATTTTACAGGAACTTGCATATTAAGTAGATAAAGTTTCAACATTTTGTTTAATTTTTTTTTAAAGTGCAATATTTTTCCACAACAGGTTTTATACAATTGATTTGGTTCATATGGTAGTGTATCATTTATGAAATTCTATCTGATACAATTTAAGCTGATAAACATTAATCCAGCTGTATGACCTTGCAAAATATTCCCAGATACAGTGGAGACCATGGGGTGCAGAGATTCTCCTTGTGGTGTTACTGCTGTGGATGGAAAATTGGACATCGGTAGGCCTGGGAGGGGAGGCATATTGGGTCTGTTATGTCTTAGGCCTTAGGCAAGAAGAGAGTGCTTTGAATACTGTGTGTCCTCACTTCATGATAGCTGCCTGTGGTTGATTCAGACCTTGGAGAGACAGACAGCGGAGCAAGGGGTGGGGGGAGAAACTGCCTGCAGGAAAAGATTCGAACCTCCCCCAACTGGTGCACAAAAAGTTGTAGTTATAAAGTAGCCGCAGTAGGCCATACGCAATATATTATGCAATAGTACGAATGTAGAAGTAATTGTTACGATAATCACATTAATCATATGTTAACCATGAATTTGCAGTGATTCAATGGCAATACGTCAATACGTTAATCATCATTAATCAAAGGACAAATCATTGATCAAAGGACAACCAAATATTTACAGTGATTCAATGTCACATAATCAATATCTATATTCATATCCCAAGTTAGAGCCTAGCAGTCGAGACATGTTCCGGTAAATTGTGCAAAATGGGTGGATTTTACCTTGCTGCCAAGGTGAACCAATAGAGTGAGAGAATTGTGTTTGTTATACGTTTGAACTTGGTTTGTTAGTGTTTTGTGACCAATTAGGACTTAGAAGTCCTTATCTGGAACTAAGAATTATGGTTTATCAACTGGGTGCTCTGGGTGCTCCTGGTACCTGGTGCCAGAGTGTGACTGGAGCGGGACTTACAGTTTAACACAGATCTGAGAAGTAGGGGTGGCAATTGCCAGAGAGATGACAATAATACAGTCACGATATTTGGATATTTGTTTGTAAATTTAGAAATCATTATGTTGTGCTGCGGTCAAGATATTAAACTCTGAATCACTGCGAAGTACTGCACTGAATCTGCACCACTGTTAAAGCAGCACCGCTACTTTCTTACAAAATCATCCATTTAAAATGTAGGTGTTTTTCTGCGTCCACAGTCGCCACCCACATGTTTGATGGCCGTGACGTAATTGTTAAACACGAGTCGAAAACACTGCGCGCTCCTTGCGCGTGAAGAATCCAAAAGAGCGGTGGGCGGGACGACTATGCGCTGTCAATCAACTGGCAGGCATTCAACCCGTTACCCCATTGGTCGCTTTTCTTGGTTCCGATTGGATTAGACCGGATGTTGATTGACAGCGCCCCGTTAGTTCCGCCCATCGTGGATTTCCGAAGCTTCGCTCCTTCCATAACTAGATAATGGCGTCTGGGAAGAAAACAACCCTGGTTTGGGAGTGAAAAATAATTTAAGGAATGAGCTAAAGTGACGCTTTGGTGTTGAAGTGGAAGGGAGCGGTCTGAAGCACGAAGTACGGTTTGAAGGCTGTCACTGGGAGGAGGGATGATACATTTCACAAACTGCTCCCTTGGCACGGAGCGTAGCGCATCGTTTGCGAGACGAACCATTCCGGCTGCCTGGTGAAGCCTGTGCGGCCGCTGCGCCAGTGCGGAGCCGGCTGCTTAGCGGTGATGCGCGGGTATTAATATCCCTGCGTCGCGGGAGGGGTGCGCGGTAATGTCGCTGGCAGTTTGCTGGGCTGCCTGAGGGTGCAGTGACGGTAACCGGACTGGCGGGGCCGATGGCGACAGTAACACCGACCCGTCTTTGGTTCGTCCAAGCCGTGAAGATCTCAGGATATCAGCGGCTGACATTAAATACCTCCCTGGGCTGCTGTAGCTGGCCAGCTCCGCATCCTGCAGCAGCAGTAATGCCAGCTAGCATCATTCAACAAGTTGCGAATTGGCTTTTTAATAAGACATCTACTTAATTATGTATATTTGCCGAAGTATGGCAGCTGTTGCATTGCTTAAAACTTAAAACAATCAATTTAAATAGTGCATTATATTGCGTGGCTTTGCACCCGTGTCTTCAAGTACCAAATCATTTTAATTATTTCCTTTTGCTTTTTGTGTATCTGCTCTTGCTGGTTTATGTACGAGATACTAAGTGAGTTTGCTCGTCAGGCTGAAACAGGCTAAAATATATGCACATACAATAAAAGGGGAATCTGTGTTACAGTTTTGCAGTGGCCCTTGCCTGTTTGTGTCGTGCATCGTCGTACATTTTGCCCCTTTTTCAGTCTCAGGTAGCGTTTTCAGGGAGCCCTTCTTTTTCCTAAGGTGGTCTGCTTTCTGTCCCGAACAGGGTAGCCCACTTTGAACATTTCATATCCCCATGAATGGTGCAATGGTACAGAGCTGCGATCCGGATCGTCTTACGGTTTTCATAGAAGGATGGCTGATCCAAACTGCTCTTTCAGTAACTACAAGCCACAGGTAAGTCAATAAAGTTATTAATGGAGGGTCAGCTGTAAAAGGAAAGACCTTTAGTAAAAACTAAAATGATTTACCAAGGCTGTTAACTTTTTTTACAGGTGAAATATAGTTATCTGCATTCATTGCTCCAGTTTCTTATTGGTAGTGTTAAAATGCACAGTAGGTGGAGTTGGAGTACATGACGTTATTGCTTACATTGATGTCTTTCCTTCTTGCTTTTTCCATGTTAAATATACTGCTGGTACATGTGCTCTTGTGTTCATTTCCATTTGAGAGCTTACTTCTCTGTCACTGGTCTCCTTGAAGATCCACTTGAAGCAGGAGAGCATGCTGGATGCCCAGCTCCTGGTACCAACAGCTCCCAGTGACAGGATGACCTCAGATCTGTGCCAGGGTGTGCTCTACAACCGCTGGTCGGTGCTTACCGATGATGTCCAGCCTGCAGCCGCCACACATGGTAGCAGTCTGCCCAGGTAATGGACCTTACTGGGTTCGGTGGTAATTCCTGACTCAGTTTTTATTTCAGTGGATAGCCGTGAAGCCTAGTTTAGCATAATGTGTCTTAACTATGTTTTTGCAGAAAACTTTCAATGGTCTGAGTGATAAAATGTAAGATTCTTGTGTTTGTTTATAAGGCTCTTAATAACCCTGTGACCTTTTGACCCCATACTCAGCAAACAGGAAACTCAGATCAGGATCTTCTTTTTATCGCCAGGTCTAAATTTAAGACCAAGGGTGACAGAGATTTTACTGCTTTCCCCCGAGGCTGATGAATAGTCTCCCAGTGGACGTTAGATAAGCTAGCAGTGTGGGCTCTTTTAAAATTACAATTTTTTTTTTGTACAGGCATGCATTTTTATTGATATTTGATTGTCTGTTTGCCTGTGATCTTGAAAGATGCAATACAAATAAACTGCTAAAAATGAATTGCAGCCACTAGCCAGTATATCACCATACATGTCAATAACTTTTTAGGTGTTATTTTATCATTGTTTCTGAATTTTTTGTTTAAATTTTTGTAGGCCTCAAAACAGCTTGTCTCATTCTGGTAATGGTCCAGACATATATGGAATGGTCTCCAGTATCCTAGAAGAAGCAAATGGATCGGAGCGTTTTGAAGATTGGTATGTTCTGGCGGCGAGCCGCTGGGGTTTAAATGCTGGGATAATCAGGTGTACGTTATTCAAGCGCAGAGACAAAGTGCTGTTACTTCGTCATTCATTGCTACAATGTTAGTACACTTTGCACAAATTCTCCAGTGTATGATATTGTGATGTCATATCTAGACTTATTTATCATTTTGTTTGGCAATTTAATCATTCGTCATTCTGTAGAGCATTTCGGTTTTGAGGATATTCATATTTTGCATAGGTTAGAAGCTTTTTTAAAAAAATAAAAATTTGGCGGTAAAGGCTTTTTTGTGTTCATTTGGAACTCTGTAGCAAAAGGTTTTTTTTTTTTTTTCTTTTCTCCCAGGAATTCTTCATCAAACTTGTTTCCATCGTGGCCAGCAGATGGCAGCCAAATGAACCAGCAAGCAAAAATGGTGCACAACGCAAACAGATTTTCTGATGCAGCTATTGACTTCTATCAAGATGCTTTTGAAGAAACACCAGGAGATGATGTGGAAAAGTTGTACCAAAGTTTCCATGGACTTGGCTTAATAGATACTTGGTTTCTTGAAAATCAGAAATGCCCAGATTTGGCCACTTTTGAGCCCAGGTGTTTTGCTGCAACACCGTACACAGACAGCTCTGGGATCAAAAGTCATTCCTTCTTTCCCAGGGAAGATTTTGTCTGCAATAGAGAAGAGTTTGGACCATGTCTGCAAGTAGCTGGTCAAGAGGTCCGTAATGCAGGATATGAGAAAATGCCTGGCAGCACATACGCTTTTCATAACCGCAGCAACAGCAACAATACACGACTGCAGAAGGAGTCACGAATGGATCAAATCCGAGACAAGTTCTCACACCATGGTGGCTCTGTGGACAAGGTTAGGCTTCCATGTGACCTTGCCAATCAGGCCCGACAAGATAAATGGCCGAAAAGGCAGTACCCTTCCCGGGGTTATGAGGACTACAGAGTCCACCCACTGCAATGGAAGAACACCTCCAACTCTCAAAGTTACTATGGCCAACAGAACCCCAGGGTAAATGGAAGGGGCTGGAAGCAAGGTTTGGAACGTTCCGATCCAAATATCCAAAATGGTTATTCCCCAGACAGAATACCATATGGTCCAGGTCAGCGGAATTCCCTTGATCTTCCTTGTGATTTCACCCAAGCTGTGACCTCGGAGCTCCAAAACGTGGATTACCTGCAGGGAGGAAAGAATGGTCCCACCTGGTCCAGTGGAGACATGCCAGGCCCCTCTGTAGCATCTGGCTTGTGGAACAGGAAGAAAGGCGGCTCTGATAGTAGTGTTCAGGCACCCTTGTCATGCAGGCCAAATGAAACCGTCTCTAACCAGCTGCTTTCTCCAGGGCTTATGTCGTCTTACCACTTCCAGTCCCCACTGTCACCTGGTGGCAGCCAGTACCAGAGAGGCAAACCCACAGAGTGTCTTCCTAGTGCTTGGTCCCAAGGTATGCCTCCTGGCAACACGAGTCTGAGCTTCCCTGGCAAACATTCCAAGGTCGATCCACCTCTGCTGGAAGAACACCCATTAGCATCTGATATTCCTAAAAGTTGGCACTGTGCTCCTGGCAGCTGGGGAACCTCACTTCTGCAAGAACATCCAGACAAACTCTACTCCAGCCGCTACAAGTGTAACTCGGAGGGCCGTGACGACATGAAGGGTATGAAGAAGAACAACCACTGGTTTTCCCCAACCCCTGGTGCCGTGGGCCCTAACCGGAACCACTACAACAACAATATCCTCAACAATTGCCGCCGCAAACAAGACCAAGACCGAAGTAGTGACTCGTTGCATGTTGGACCACCTTTTCCGCTCCTTAAAACGGGTCAAAAACAGAGCCCTGGATCGACGCAGTTGGGCCTCCATCCAGCAAGTAGCAGGAAAGGCAATGGGGTCTTCTCCTTGCCTCCATCAGCATTTCCTTTTCCTGACCTTATAGATGTGCTTCAGGGAGAAGATTTTCGCCAGCTCAGCCCCTTTGTCAGCGAGTTGCTTGGCAGTGAAATGCCGCCTCCTTTCTTTGGGTTTCCTTCACACTCTAGCAAGTATCGACCCATAAGGAACCGCACGGGTCCTGCCAGCGAGCTGCACATGCAACTGGAGGTGTGCTATGAGCAGTGGAGGACCTTAGAGAAAGAGAGGAAGAAGGTGATCGCAGTCTGACTGCAACTTGGGATTTTGCAGATGATTGCTCTTCAGTTCGTTTAGACATTAGTTGTGTTGGTTTATTAGATCTTCCTTTCTTTTCCAGACTGAGGCCAGTTTAGCCAGGAACTTTCCTGGGCGGAGAATGACTGGTTCCCACAACAGGCCCGTTCCTGCACTTCCTGCCAATCCATCCAGAGTTGACCGTTTGATCGTGGATCAGTTGCGAGAACATCAGAGAGTAGGTGGTTGCGTGCAATAGGTATAACAGATTAGAGATTTATTTTCCTTCGCTCCTTACGTCTTACTGCTGGTCTTTCTTGGCGTTTGGAATGGTTAATTTCTGCAGGTTATGACCCTGGTTGGGAAGATGGAGCATCTTCGTGGAGCTCCAGTGCACGCCAACATCAGCACCACCCTGGAATGGCACCTGGAAGCCATCCACCTCACGCAGGCACGGCGCAAGGATGAGGTCATCAACTCCACCAACCGATACAGGCAAGGGGCACCAAGAGGACACGATGATAAAGGTACAGATACTCAGTCGTGATCTGTGGGGATGGTGACGATGCAGCAAAGGTCTTCTTAAAGATAACTTTTTAGTGTTTGTTTTGGTTTCGGAGCAGCAGACGTCCTGGCATTGGCGTCCGCCATCAAGGACTTGGCGGTTCTGACCCGCAAGGCCCGCACGGCCCTGTGGTGTGCCCTGCAGATGACCCTGCCCAAAAGTGCAGCTGGCACCCCTGCCGAGCTGGATCGAGCCCTGCAGGAGCTGTGTGACCCAGGGAACAACGAGGTGTTGGGGGTGGCGCACAGGAGGAACCAGCAGCCTGCGGAGAGGAAGGGGGATGTGCAGGATCTGGGCCCGGGAGGTATTGGGGAGGCTGAGGAGGAGCGAGAGAAAGACTCTGAGAAGAAACTGTGACCATGGGCTTGTGTTCTGTTGGTGTTGCGGTTACTATGGGAAGAATCTTAAAATGTAGAGGAGATGAAGTTGGACACATGCGTAATGTGTGTGTGAGCGTGCTTGAATGTGAAATTCTCCACATTACTGTTTTGGACCTTCAATTCATTGAATGAGTTCAAATGTTCGTTTGAACGCAAACGCGTTCCGTTGCCAAGCATCCAATCCTATGTTTTCTACGTACGTTGCTGAGTGTGTTACATTTACGTTGAGTTGAGATTGTTTGCCAGTTCTCGTTCTATGAAGCACGGTTTCTCCCCCTCCCCCCCCCCATTTTACCGAAACGTGAGACACATAGACATGTTTATAGATTGGCCGTAGTGCTGTGTGAGACCCAGCGAACGTCTCGCCACCGTGTGCCAAAAGAACCGAGCCGGTTCGAGATGGGTCGCTGTCACGCCTCCTTGCCCTGTCCTCTTCCTCCTCTTGGCACTTCCAAACTGCCACAGAAGCTGTGTTGAGATGCCATTGTGGTTGTTGTATCAGTTCTGTGCCTTGTTGTTCTCAGTGGTTTAAACTTCAGAAACTGGAAAAGACACGCTAACGATGCATAAATGTCCTAACATGAGATGACTTTAAAGCATTGGTAGAAAATATGTTTTTTTTGTGTGTGTGTGTGTGTGTGTGTGTGTGTGTGTGTGTGTGTGTGTGAGAGAGAGAGAGAGAGAGTGAGTGAGTGTGAGTTGCTGCTTGTGAGCCTTTCTGTTTAATTAGATGGGTTATAAGATGATACTCAGGATCACAACTAACACCAGTGGAGAGTTAAAAAGGATTTCTGTCTTAGTAAGCACTTATACGTTATATTATGTTACGGGAATTTAGAGACCATATTTATTTTAATTATTAAAATTGCGTTGGAAAAAATAGTATTAATGCATCTGGTAGTTTCCTACTAGATCAGAATGACCTATTTACTCAGGAAATGTGTATTTAGTATATTGTTTTAAGCATGTTTAAATAATCTAACTATACTAAGTTACCAAAGGTAATACATTTAAAATACATTTAATTACCATTTTATGTTGATGTATATGTTTGCTACTTCGGCTTTTGCAGTATACAGAGCTTATCAAATAGTATTTCTACTATGACTTAGACAATCACCACATTTGTACAACTTAAAATGCAGCATTTTTGAATGTAGGTAGCCACACAGAAACACAGGAATGATTTGTTATTTCGGAGTAGTATTACAGGAATGACTTTTAGTTTAGTTCTGATATAATACTATAAGGAAAATGCATCGTTTTAACCTGAAAAGAATAATGTCAAAATGCAGAATCAAGAATAAAGCAGCACTAAATGGATATTCAAACACCACAGCTGACAAACTCCTGTACGTATTTACTCTCTGCTTTTGAGCCTTCAGAAAACCCTAGTGGCCACTTCCTGTCATAGTGTTTTTATAATAATCTACTTGTCTATGTATTTTCATGGATAAACAAAAAAACTTAAATGAAGATTTATGTGCTTATTCCCTCTAATTTTATTTTCCGATTTAAAATCCTAACTTTGAACTTTCAGTTTTTGTGGATGGGTCAAAATGTTATTTAGTCTGTTTGCATGCAAACACCCTAGTGATGAGCACGTATAAAGATACCTGTTTTATACATTTCTCAATTACTATAATGTACGTTGAAGTAGATTATATCATATCTACCTCATTTTATTAACATTGATAAAGCACTTCAGGTTTTCATAAATGGAGAAAGATACGACAGACCATATAACAGTGTTTTCAGATCTATATCTTCAGTTTTGTGTTCCTGTGAATTGTGTGTGCGTTCACAGTGCTTGGCTGTCAGACCAATTTAATTTTTTCATTTTTTAACTTGTATAAGATAAGGTATTAAGAACCCAGTAGAGAGAATTCCCAATCTCGCGCTCACTTTCATGCTGAATTTGGGTGGATTGACTATGTTGGTGTGCTTTGTGCTCAACGTTTCCCATCTCTAGCTCTAGTTTGTGTGTGAAATAACATGCAGTGAAGTCACTGCAGATCAGATTGATCTAAAAATGACGACATGTTTTGTAATAATTGTTGCTGACGTATTTGTGCATTTGGAATTAAGACTTTGTTTACATTACGTATTAATATGTAGCCAGAAGAGTATATGAATGTAAATGGTCATATAGCGCAGATGATGCTATATATAGATCAGATAACACTATATATTTCAGTATTTTTCTTTTAATATTTTTTGTAAAGTAGCACTGGAGAAATTCAATTAAAGCTTAAGAGAGTATATGTGCCTTCCGTTCGTCATACTCCCCAAATATTAAATTATATATAGTGGCCACTGCACATTTTACTTTTTGTGTCAACTGATATTTTTGTATATGAATCACATTGCCAGTTTTTTTTTATTATTATTTTGCAGAGTAGCATGTTGTTTTTTTTTGTAGCAATTGGATTTCACGGTGCATCACCTCAGGATGGCTGGTCGGGGTTCCCAAACCAGCAGGGAGATTATTGAATAATGTGGCTTGTTTCTGAAGGAAAAGCCCTGGTTGTTTTCACCTGGGTCCCCTTGGGATGTTTAATATGAAGTGAGGGGCTGCATGTCTCTTCTCTTTTAGCACTGTCCTAGAGTTAAAAAAAAAATTAAGAAAAAAAAAAGTTTACAAATCAGGATTTTTTTTTTTTTTTTTTTTGCAGTTATGGATCGTTAGCAATATATGATACTTGTTTCATTCTTCGTCCAGACGTATGGACTGTGGGACCCCATAAGTGTTTGTGAATTATTTTTTATTTGCTTTGTAATGTGAAGGTTGTTAGATGTATGTACAGAGGAAATTTAATTTTTCTTGACACTGTAGCAGCTTTACAGAGGCAGAGTAAAACACGTGTTTGAGTTTTAGGTTTCAGCTCTTCATGTGCCATTGAACTTCATCTGTCGAACGACAGGCTTCTGCAAGTCCTTTAACATTGTCCATTAAACTAGACAGCCACTTAAAATCTCTACATATCCATAAAAGCTGAAATCTCAGCTGCTGTGTGTTTTCCTGTAGATTCGTAGTGCCGTACCACATTTTAATGTGTAATCAGTCAGAACTCGGATCATGCACCCAAGTGTTTCCTTTGTTTGGCCGTCGACTATATGCCAGGATATCTAACCTCTTGGGAAAGTAGTATATAGGAAAAACTGGCCAATTAGGCTGAGCACAGTGACTGTGGTGCCGAAAAAGTCTGTGGAATATGTTGCGATGGGTTTGCCGTTGGAATGGGTGGTGGTTCTCAGTGTTGATTATACTGGCGTGGAGCTGTGAATCTTTTTTGTTGGCCAGCTAATTCTTGATGGCTATCATATTGAAAGTGTTGTAGATGCCAGCCAGTGTTGGAGCTTGGTGGAGATATGAGACGAGGATTTAAATGCAGGTGGAGAAAAGGTGATGTAATGAAGGCCTTTTTGTTTTGCTTGCATATGCAAGTGGAGAGCTGTTGGAAAATGGTCCCCCCCCCACCCCAATTTTATGCAGAGGCATGGCCAGTAATGCAGAGTAAATGTTTTCTATTTTTCCTATATATTAAGGTAATGTACACATACAAAATCACATGAAGCTCTGTAGATTTTTTTTTCCTTAGTAAATTTATAACTGGACTTTAAAAATCAGGTTATCATTTAACTGTAGACATAGCATGGAACGTATTTATGCAATAAGAATATGCCAGTGTCTTGGATACTCTTAAGTAACATGGATTCTGTGGAACAAATATCTTGAATATTTCAAAGTTTTAATTGTACTGGGTGCTTGAATTTCCCTATCCTCTGTATTCTGCTACAAGTGGCATTCTTAAATCAATTTGTAGCTACTTGCTTGTTGCTGTATCGGAACTTAATTGACCTGAAGCAATAGCTTTGGAACTCTCAAAATGTTACTACTTCATTATGACCAGCAGGGGGCAGAATGATTAGAGAAGTTGCTGCATTTCCAAATCCCCTTAATTGCATTCCATGAAACATAGGCCATTTCTATTATGAGAAGGTGTTTCAGAAAGACTGCTCTAATGTGATTGGTTACTGATAAAATCATATGGAACCATGAAGTAATTACAGCTAATACAGGAGACGATTTTTCAAAAAAGTTTGGTTCTGTGTTGGTATTCACAATTCCCTATCCTTGCACTTTTAACAGAAGTATATGTATGTTCAGTCATGTTTATCTTTTTAAAACCCCATAATTGGACCACAGTGACCTTACTGCATATCGATTTGTTTAAATGTCAAATGTCAGCATCATTTAATCAGTTTTGTCATTTCAGGTTTCTTTCTGTTCATCATTAGATGTGTTAAGGGGGAATTTGGCGGTACAGTTTTAGTTAAAAGGACCCAAATTTTTCAATTAATGCAACCAAAGCCGAATATTTCGTTCTTTTTTTCCCCTTCACTTGGCCCACATTATTCCAACATTTGTTTGATGTTCTCCTGAAGGAGAACTCCTGCATTTGTACCATTTAATAGCTGTATTACGTATTCTCCGTCATACCAGCAAAATGAGTGTTGTGGTTCTGGATTAATTCCGGGACAAAGCACTTATGTCAAACACTGTTCAGCCTCTTGGAACACTGTGATTTTTGCTGAAATCTTGTGTCTGTGACTTTAATCTTGTGGTGCACAGGACTTTATCAGTTGTTAATGGTAATTGGTAACTGACATTTCAGTATTTTTATGTAGTTGGTCATTCATGTCTTTTTGGTATTTGCATTGAAAGCTGATGGTATGAGGAGTAGGTCACCTGCTTTTCCATGGGAGACATTCAAACCACTCTGTGTGAGTTACGAAAGCCGTCATCCTTCAGTCATTTATAAGAGCATTTCAGTAAATGCTGAAATGGGCCAGTTTTTTGTACCACTTTTGAAGAAATGTTCAGGTTAGACAGATTTCAAAGATTGACACTATTCACTTATCCAAGTCGAAGAAGATTAAGCTTCAAGATATGCCTCTGTACAATGAGGTTTTATTTTTGTTACTCTTTTAAATGAGCTTTAATCGTATATATTGCCACTTGTGTTTTTATTTTGTGCTGTTCAGTATCTGTCTGGCTTGTCTGACACTTGGACTCCTACTTGGGTGTCCATGAGAGAGTGTCAGTGCTGAGTTTGATGTTACGGTTCATGTTTATTGCATTGTGTTGCAGAGTTGCCTTGAAAGTTTTATGGAAAAACCTGGTTTGTGATGTTGAAAATGATCTAGCACATTACTGACAGAATTAACAAAATAAAAGTTGTCAATTTAACACCCCTCTGTATTTCGTGTGTTGCTTCCCCACAGTTGGAAATGCACATTTTTAAAGGTATTGCTGCAAGAAATATTGTGAAGTGGCTCTGAGTTTGAGGTTATTTGTCTAGTGTCCTCTGGGCCAACTGAGTTCTATTAGCTTCAATCTATCACATTAAAAGTCTCTTACAGCCCACAACCGATGTCCTCCAGCGGGTCAGCCAGCCTCTGCCCAGCACGCCCAATCAGAACAGCCTGCCCTCTGATTGACGTCATCCTTTGGCATTGTTTACAAGTAACCCCTCTTCCCCGCTTGTAGCTGGAGATGTTTATGCACTGGGGGCATCTGATGACTGTTGAATGTTCTCCAGGAGACTTAGAGATGAATTACAGCCACCATCCCCCCACTTTCCTATCTCCTTTCATGTTGCCATGGAGTTGCCATTTTCTCCCAGACTGATCGTGCAGCTTGTGACGTGATGGTGTTTTAAATCTGGCCTCTTCCTTTTCGTCTGTCTTGTGATCAAACGGTAAGATTGACTGCCCATTGATGCTATAGAATTAGCAGATTATGTAACCCTTAGCTTCGGTCTGGCTAAGGCTGGACTGGGTGGATTTTTTGCGAGGGACACCTTGGAAAATCCAACCAACAGAATTCCAGTGTCCTCCAAGACCTCAGACACATGCAAATACTTGTACGCACGACTAAATCATCCCATTGGTTAATTCATTCAATGACCTTTCACCCAAAGAGATGGATGCACACATGCAGTGCTAAATGTAGTCCTGTAATGTTTGTGGTGCATTGATACGGTGCCAACAAAATATATATAATATCCAAGACTGACTGAAAGTCTTCCTCTTTCTCTTTATAGAGTCCTAGACACTGGGGGTCGATAATTGGATAATGGTAGCTTTGGTTTGGAGAAGCGGAGGGGGGGACATTAGGTAGAATTTTTCAGGGGCCAAGCAAAGTCTGTGTGTGGCCCTGACAATACCCTCTCAGTCCACAGTACTGGTAGGAGTCCTGTCAACAGACTTAACCTAATAGTCACACACACTTGCATTTTAATCATGGCCAATGTGTGTTACTTATATACCCACGGCCTTTGTATGGGATTCCACGTCGGCTCTTTAGTCTTAAAGGGGAAAGTAAAAAAATGGTTAGCCTCTTAAATTTTTGCCTAAGTCTACAGTGAACTGAATACACAGCCAGTTGGCACATTCCACCCTTTACTGGCACTGGCAAACCCACCCGCCCCTGACCCGACACATACACAAAAGACGGTGAGTTGGTCATGCCTTGGTCTTCGGCGATCTCTCTTCCTGCCACGTAACACCGGCTGCGCATAACAGCGGAATTACCCCAGTGATAGGGTTTCACCGCGCTTTGCCTCTGCGGGCTGCCACTGTCTGTCAAGCGAAGCCAGGAAAAGCATATGAGGGGTGCTCGAGTGGGAACTGCTGCTACTGGAGTTTCCAAAAGCGAGCGTTTAGTCAGTTTGCCCAACGCCATTGTTTACTTGGAGATGGTTGTGACGGCTTTCCGGGGAACAGAAATGCAGCCAGTCGTGTTCCCTTGAGCCCTTCCTTACCTTTCTCCCTCTATCCATTCTTTGTGTATTTCTTTCCTGAGACAAAATTCATTTCCATCCATCCACCCATTTTCTGTAACCGCTTGTCCTATTCAGAGTTGCAGGGGGTCTGGAGCCTAACCTGCAGGCTATGGGCACAAGGCAGGGCACAACCCCGGATGGGGCACCAACCCATCACAACAGAATTAAGTTGGCTGAAGCAATTCATAACCAATTCTGTGTGCTTACTTCAAAGGATCGATTCTCTTATCCAGTCTGAGGATTGTGGAAAGAAACCCAAATGAGTGGCATGTATTCATGCTTCCAAATGTAAAGGGGATAAGACACCTAAGTGGGATGTTCCTCCTCGAGGCTTTGACATGGAGACCAGACAAAAAGGGCAGTGCATTGTGGGATGGGTTTGTACCGTGTTGGTAACCACGGCAGGTACAGTGATGTATGTTCAAGGCAACAAAAAGTGGTTTGGGCGCCTATGTTTTTGCCATCGGATGGTAGCAGCGACTTAAATACAGAGATTAATAACTTCAAGTGCAATGCTGTCATGTTATTACAGCTGTCGCTGACTTTTTAAAGCAACTGCTAAGTATGTGGTGGACAGATGAAGCGTATAAACAATCATGGCAAAGAAAGTGAGAAGATCTTCATCTGTCCTAACAGAAGTATGGGAAAGGTACTTCAGATCTCAGCACATATTCAGCCGTATGACTGAAGATCGCACGTGGCGCTGCATAGAAACGTCAGCTGAGAAATTAAATGCAGCAATTTGCAGCGACGATGGATGCACGGTAATGTGTTCACAGCGCAGAAATGACATCGGCACGCCCACGGAACACAGGCCGCAGACATGTGCTTTGCGCGCTATGTTACAGCGACACGTGGAGCCCTGCGACGCCGTGGCAGGCGCGGACGGATGCTTTACTGACTGCTGATGTGTTGTAAACCATAATTTATGCTACCCCGTGTCCTGTAATCGCACGTAGCAACCATTAAGTACACATGGTTGACAGTGTTTGAATACGGTAATGAGAGAAACTTTTACCTAAAAGTTAAGTACAGTACAATTTCCACTATTTTAGGATTTATTTAATAAAGTATCTGTATTGATAACACACTGGTATATTGGAAAGTCGTTATAGGCTATGAGTGGATAGTATTAAACTGTAGTATTCGATTAATGATTGAGAAAATGTTCGAACTTTCTTAACGATGTTTAAACTCGTTTGTTCATTAAGGGCCATGGGGTGAAATTATAACTGTGAGGATTCTACTTTTTTCACTTTTTACTTTACTTTTTACAACCGCCTCACCCGTCTAAGCATGTAGTGCTCAGTTCTGCTAATGAAACTCGAAAGAGAAGGTCGTTTGTCACCGTTTACTGGGAATCCCAGTCCGCTGGGAGTTGATTTCACTGCTACGTACGGGACTCATTCACTGGTGTACCGGAGACGGCTGCAGTGGGTGCCTGTGCTGGGGCGGGATAGCTGCAGCTGGGCTTGCCAAGGAAAGTGAAAACGGCGCATTCCGGATAATTAGCTGGCTGGCTTCCCAAGCACTGGTGCTGTACAGAACCCGGGCTCCCCAGGAGCGCCTGGCACAGCGGCGCCGCAATGATGCATGCCCACGTAATGCTCACATGCGTTACTCTTAATATTCCTTTTTCTCTCGCAATGGAGAATTAAGGACATTTACTGCCTTTTCAGGACCAGTTGGAACTCAGTTGTAAAATTACCGCACGGTTCCGTTAAACCGAAACCCAGATTACTTCTGCTGACATGTCATGAATATATAAGTCCAGCTTTTACTGGATTTGAGCTTGATGCTCAACTAAATAGTCTAAGATTTTTTTGCTGCAGTGTATCAGGATTTTTGTGAGCCCCCCATACATTGGCGGTGTGTGCAGGGGTTGCTTTAAACCCACTGAGAACACGGTAAGTCTATCTGCAGCAAATGATACGGCTATTTTGGAAAAGAGGCTGCACTGAAAAAGGAACGTCAGCTATTTGACATCATGCAGTACTGAAAAAAGGAAATACCCTAGTCAGCCCGCTACAGGGGACTGGGGGATATTGCATAGTGTAAGACGCTTGATTATTTTTTTTTTCTTGTGGAAATATACCTGATTTCTACGAAATTCCGCGGGGATTTGTACGGAGTGAAGCAAACCATGGATACATGCATGTGACTGCGGAACTTCTCATCAACTTCTTTACCGAGGACAAGGCGTCTGTTTTACTCGTGAAAAGCTGAACTAAACGCGGTAAGTACTTCATTCCTATCATTACTAATGTAGCAGTTTAAAAAATACATATATGAATATAAACAGTGGTTTTCGCATTAAAAAAAAACTTTTTAAGTGTCTCTTTTTAGTCACTTAATCTTTTCATTCAATCGTGCATGCTTCTTCTTAAAAATAAAATCTGCAACGTGCTAGATTCTAAATGTGATTTTAACAATTACCCGCTTTCAATATGGAATTAAAAGGTTTTTATTTTGACATCGCGATGTTTGGTTTTGACTGGGTATTCTGTCTATGCGACTGATTTATTCCCGGTAATAAATGGCCTTATGTAACCATGAATGTTTTGTCAAGCGGCCCCTGTATTTTATTTATCAATATATATATATATATATTATATTATATATATAATCTCTTGTGGGTGCCATATCAAACGACTGATCTCAGTCTGCTTCTACAAATGGCAATACCGTGAGATGGTTCTGGACAGCTGAAGTTATTTTTGGGACACCAAGCTCAGAGGAATGAGGTGACAAAGACTGTAAATGTCACTCGAAAGGTACATCCTTACGGTTTTACCGCTCCCTTTTAACTCCACTCACTCTGTCATGAATGATTGGCAATGTAAGACGAAGATCAATAGTTTGCCGCATACAGCAAGTATATAGTAAAAAATGGCGAGTTAACTTAAATCTTTCAACATTGGCTATATAGTAATAGTACACATTGGTTTTATAATTTGCAAAATAATAACCCATCCGCAGTAACTGCATAACATCAAGAATGTAGCCCGCCCAGCTTGACTTTAGAAGTAGGCCCTAACTTTTCTACAAGCTTTGAACAATATTGATTATTAGATATGAGAAAAACTACAGGAGAGTTTGCGTGGGGATCACATCCACTGATCGCTCTTTAAATTTAGCCAATATAATAATAATGATAAAAAACTTTATTATACGATAATTACACTGTACCCGGCTGACTGTAATTAAGGATCGAGTCCCCGACGTCACTGCCTTAACCCCACAAGTCCGTTTGTTTGTTACACCTGCGGACAAGACAAAGGGGAGACAGATATGAGACGCAATGTAACACATATTAAATGGCTGTGTGCATAGCAGGTATTTTTAAATCCCTAAATGACTGCCTTTCTCTGTTTTAACACCCTTTCCACACCTTTATTTATTTATTTACTTATAAATCCTTTTCAAAAATCCTTTACCATTAAAACGTAATCTTTTTAAATTACGCTTTTGCGGGGGACACATTTCACTGCAGCACCGCTGCCTTTGGGCAGGTTTGGTTACTCAGAAAAAGAAGCGCTATTTGGACCTGCTAAACCCTAGGAATGAGTCACTGATGGTCGTAATATTTAGTAAAATCACCTCGGACACTGGTAACCTGACTATATTTTCATTGCTAAGCCGCCAGACTAAACACCCATCGTTACTAGTACTTGTGGCGCTCGGTGTTATAAATGTTATTAAAACTGGTTTCCTCTATCAGATACTGAAGTGTTTTTCCGATATAGTTTGTAAATGCGTGCATGCTAGACTAAGCTGCATTTTGAGGAACGTCTTCAGAGTTTATTAATAGGTATGAATTAAAAATCCACAAGGCGGTTTGGTAAGACGTACTGAATTCACTGGGTACCACTGTGATTAATAAAGCAGAATAACGGCAACTGTACATTTCACACATTTCACAACAGCATCGTACAGATTCCCAGAGGATCTGTGCATTCAGGTAATAATTATGGAGGAAATCACCAGGGAAAAATATTTTGGGGAATCATTCTATAATTCATTTAAAATTATTTGAATACATTGCAAATGGAAACAGCATTTTTTTTCTGATCTTAATTCCATCATCACTTAGCGGCTGTTGTCATTTGAATGTAACTAATTTTATTCACATTGGCCATGCAGGTAAATAATTTGATGAACATTTTCTGTCTTTTCTGTTACCTTTCCAATAACCTGATATTACTAGATAATCAGCAAAAAAGTCAGAATTGTATAATAGAGTGGTTGAAAGTAGTTTCCTAGTCTTTTCCATCTGCAGGGTAACTGTGTACAGAAGGTGTCCCTGAATGGACTGTCTTTGCTTTTGTTGCTGCTGAATAGGATGAGGCTGGAAAAATATTGCCTGCAGTTCTGACTTGCAGACCTGGGAGAATGACCACCATTATGTGTTTCCTGGAGAACAGTTTGATAAGATGAGATCATGTGGCATGAAATTCGGTGAAGTGGTGAGAGAAACCTATCGTTTCTTTCATTTGTGATAAACACATGAACATTGGGCCTCATTCACCAATTCACCTTCTTAAACCCCACGTGCGCACTTTTTTATACGAAGATTCTGACCTATTTATAATCCGCATGATCGCTGTTACCACCATGAAAATAATTTTTATATTTTACTTTTATAAATTATTAAAATTCTATCATTTTATGAACTGTAGAATGAACAAAACTGCTATAACCAATTATTTTGAACAGACTATCATTACTCAAATGTGCGTATGAATGGTCTTGAGTGTGCATAGATTCTGTTCTTAGCTAAGAAGAAATTCAGATAAGAAAACATTGGGGAATGTCAGAATCTTTGTAAAAAAAATACTGCATACCTGGGGTTTAAGAACAAATTTCTTCGTAAGAACGGTTGGTGAACGGTCTTTCTCCAGTGCAGCGCCGAAGTTCTGCAACAAACCCCTGTCAGTTGAAAAGCAAGAGTATTAGTAATCCATTGTTGTCTAGGGCTGTAGGTTGTTTGCTGCAGTGAAACACACTGCAGTACAGATTTGCATTCATTAATTTTTAAACTTATAATAATGATAAGTAATTTGAATGATTGCATCTTCCAGCTTGAGACTGATACAAAACCTAAATGAATTTCCAGCAACTGGCAGAATTGTGTGTGTGTATATATATATGTATTGTAATTTGTTACTGTAGTGGTGCTGTGGAGTTTTGGGTGGCTTTTGGATTTGTCTATAACAATAATAACCAACCATATTTTAAACTGATGTAGTCTGGAGGAGAATAAGTAATTCAGCAGTAAGGGCTTCCTGAAGGATGTGCACTGCTGAGCTGGCATGCAGTGTGTCCAGTGGGTTTGTCACATCCAGCTGAGTTGTCTGCAGCTGACGACCTATGCCACTCACTGGATTCGACTTAATGGAATGTCCCGTTCATTTTGAACGGCGCTAATCCCCGGCTCATGTGTGTCACGTTACACTTTGCACTGACGGAAACACCGACCCCTTTCACATTTGGAGCCCAAAGAGTCATGAATGAGGAGAGTTTTGGCAAATCCGTGGGTGACACGCTCGAGCTCCTGCTGCTTGCATTCTCCCTTCCCACTCCTCCGACAAAGTTGTTTGCGCCTGTGTTCCCGCTTACGCGACCTGCTCCCTGTACTTTGGGTCAGTGGTGTTTATAGCCGAGAAAGGTCAAAGGTAAATGTCAACCTGCGTAGAAGTTATTGGATCTTGTTGCCAGTGTTTTTCTTTTAATAGCCTTCTAATACAGACATTTGACTTTTTATATAAACAAACCCAACTGATTGAGTTATATATGTCCCATATGAAAAACCACTGCACTAGTCTCTTACTCAGTATTCATATACGTATCTTCCAGATCCAGAGACTCTACAGATAGGGACTACAAATGGTATACATAGATACTGGGGTAACACTTTGCTTAGTTTCGGGTTAATCACTTTCAAGACATGCACACACAATCCTTACGTTAGGATTGTATCACAGTTGTTTTAAGGTCTTTGAACCCATGACTTAAAAATGTCTCCATCGTCATACTTGTGGCCATCAAGTCTTTTAATCACTCAACAAAAGCTTTGTTTCTCCCAACCAGGATGTACAGATGGACCAGGCTCTGTTCGGCGGGGCTCCGCGGTTCCTCACGCGGCCCAAAGCCTTCTCCGTTTGCGTTGGACGCGATGCGACGCTGAGCTGCACCATCGTGGGCAACCCAGTGCCACTGGTGACCTGGGAGAAGGACAAACTGCAGCTGTCCTCTGGGGGACGCTTCAAGACGGTGGAGGACGGAGATGTCTACCGCCTGACCATCTATGACCTCGCTCTACAGGACAGCGGCCAATACATGTGCCGGGCCAAAAACAGCGTTGGGGAGGCCTACGCCGCCGTCACGCTAAAGGTGGCTTTGCCGTCTGAGATGGCGGAGCAGGCGCCCGTGTTCCTGGTGAGGCCTTCGTCTACGCGGGTGGGCCTTGGCGAGGACACCACCTTCCAGTGTCGGGTGGCAGCCTACCCTGACCCCACCTTCGAATGGGAGAAGGACGGGCGCTACCTTGGCGAGTCCAACCGTGTCAAGATCGTCTCGGACGGCGAGGGCAGCACCCTGAAGATCCAGTGTGTGCGCAACATGGACAGCGGCACCTACACCTGCCGAGCCCAGAACTCGGTGGGTCGGGCCCACGTGGCAGCGGCCCTGGTGGTGGAGCTTCAGGACCGGCAGCTGCTCAACGCCGATAAAAGCACCTCCCTCCTATCACATCTACAGAAGCGCAAGGAAGAGATGCGCAAGGACATCTCCATCTACCGCACTCTGGATTCCACCTTATCGTCTTCCTCGTCTTCCTTGGCCTCCCGGACCCCCGAGGGGCTCAGTACCCTGGGCCTCAGCCTCGCCCAGGACCATGACCACGTCGCCGCCCTGGCCGTCAAGCTGCCCAAAGGCGTGTTCACTCGCACCTGCACAGTGACGGAGGGCAAGCACGCCAAGCTGAGCTGCTTCGTCACCGGGCACCCGAAACCGCACATCATCTGGTGCAAGGACAGGGACAACATCCCAGAGGGGCGCCGGCACGTGATGTACGAGGACCAAGCCGAGAACTTCATCCTGAAGATCCTGTATTGCAAGCAGAGTGACAATGGCCTGTACACCTGCAATGCCTCTAACCTGGCCGGACAGACCTACAGCGCGGTGCTTGTTATTGTCAAAGGTAAGCTTCTTTTCTCTCTATTTTAATAGCCGTTCCTCCCTAACAGAACCGTAGTACAAGGCCAAGAGCAATTAGTCCCTTTGGTCATTCATTTAGCAGACACTTTTGTCCAGAGTGACATACAAATGAGGATAGCTTAGGGTCAGAGAACAGAGTCAGCCCACTTTCCTGGCACAGTTGGGGTTAAATGCCTTGCTCAAGTGCCCACCAGAGATATGATTACACTGCTGGCCATGGGATCTCAACACTGGAGACACAGGCACTGATGCCTAACACTCTGAGCTACACACTGCCTAAAGTAGTACTAACTGACCTTTGTCGTACCATTAATATGCTTTGGCGTATGGGGAGTGATGCTCGATCTTATGGGACATATAACTTCATGCTCATCACTCACAAACGCTTGGTGATCTTTTTCCAGGAACACAGTGACACGGTCACCTGTCTAAACTTGTGCTGGATGTCACTGTTAGTCAGTGTCTTTCATTTTGCACAGTGTGTGCACGGTCAGATTGTGTACAGTGTTGAGTCTTGATCCCGTAAAGAATTCTAATGAAATTTCGTACAATGAAATCAACAGATGAATCGGTCGGATCAGCAAGGTTAGACTTTACACGTGTTCAGTTGAAGAGCAATGATCTCTGCCTGCTTGCCTGGCTCCTGTCTTCTTTCATATGATTATGTGCCGTTTCAGCTTGAAAGAAACCTGGCCCTCTGTCCGGCATGTGTTTGGTCAGGCAGCTATCAAGCCACCGCGGTGTCAGATTACAGCTATTTTCTGCCGCAGTGAGGATTCCCAAATGGGGATGATAGCCAGGAGCCCCGAGGCCGGGCGCTGGGCGCGGGAATGGTGTCCATTAGCTGGGCGCGGCCGCCGATCGCGGGGCCTCCGGACGATGATGACCGAGAGATTCCAGCATAATCTAAGCTGCCTTTGTGTAGCACCGCTGAATTAACACTGGGGAATGTGATTTTGTGCTCGGATATGACAAAATTGTTTGTCTTGGCCAGCTATGGTTGCCCAGGCTCATACCAAAAGCAAAGGAGCGAGTGGGGGGGGGTATGTATATATTACATTGTGAAGAACAAATATCCCCACAGTGTGATTAAAATCCTTGTGGGGACATCTATTCAGTTTCCACAAGGGGAAATTCAGTGTGACCGCAATCAAAAAATTAAAATCTTAAAAATTTTGTATTTTGTTTGGTTACTGTTGGTTAAGGTTAGGGCTGGGTTAGGGGTTAAGCTTGTCATAGTTGGGATTAAGGTTTTGGCCATGGAAATGAATGCATGGTACCCACATAGATATAATTACAAACCTGTGTGTGTGTGATGTCTGCTTCCCTTATCAAGTGTCTCTCTTTTGTATGACTTAGACATTAGCTGACCATCACTAGCCTGAGATGATTAAAAAATGACATTAAGAAAACTGATGTCTTTAAATTGCTCTTAACACCTGTTTGAGTGTGTGTGTCTGTGATGGATTAGCACCCCATCCAGGGTGCATCTTGCCTGGGCACCGTGATACAGTAACTTCATGTAACTTCATGTTCTAAGATGAATGGTGAGGGACATGGATGGACAAAAATGTCTGCCGACCAATCATTTGTTGGAAAACTAGACTCGTATTATCGATTGATCTGATGGGCCGATTGGATCTCCGTGACCTTTGCCCTTCCGTCTACGCCTCCTGCAGAACCCAAGGTGCCGTTCCGGAAGAAGCTCCAGGACGTGGAGGTGCGGGAGAAGGAGTCGGCCCTGCTGCAGTGCGAGGTGCCAGTGGCCAACGTGAAGGCCAGCTGGTACATGGAGGAGACGCGTCTGCAGGCCAGCTCCAAGTACCACATGGAAGATCAGGGCATTTTGCGCAGCCTCACCATCCACAACGTCACCACCAACGACGATGCCGTCTACATCTGCGAGATGCACGAGGGCAGCCGCACCGTGGCTGAGCTGACCGTGCTGGGTGAGGCTAATCTGTGCCAAGCTGCTTATTTAGGTCTGCAGGTACCTGGAGATCTTTGTAGGCCTTCAGGCCAAGTCCTAAACTGCTGTAGGTCTTGTACTAAGAGGGACGGCAGAGCTCATGAAATCTATATTTTTGGGGCATATTTTAGCTTTTTTTTTTTTTTTTGCAAACATGAAAATTTAAGATGTTTATTGTCACTATCGATTATTTTCATAGTCGAGTAATCTACCGATTAGTCTGATGATTCATTGAGTAATCATTTAGATATAATATAATTAATATAATATATACATTGCAATTGGTGCAAGGCAGGAACCAACCACACGATGCAGGGTGCACACTCAGTCACATATACGGTCAGTTTAGGCTCTCCAGTTCATTTAAGGTTAATGTGTTTGGACAGACTGAGGAAATTGCCGGATCTCCCGAAAAGACGCCCGCACGCAGGGTGAGCCTGCAAACCCCACACACACAAAGCGGCAGTGTGTGGTGACAGTGCTACCCAGCGCACCGCCGAACCGCTAGGCTGGCACGACATGCGATGTTAATACCAACATGGCATTTCATGCGATAGTCCGCTGGGTTCAAACCATCCGTAAATTGCACTAAAACATTTACGTAGTCACAGGAAACCAAACTTTGCAAGTTTTGCTATTTTAATGATTCCTTTTCAAAACGATCTAGTACAAGTTTAAAAAAATCATTCTAAAGTTTACTGCTGCTGCTTTACTTGAAGTTTACATGCCACTGCATGCGATCTCCGAGACAATCGTTTAATTTTCGTCCTATTGGACTGATTCATTGAATGTGTGGTGCATTTGTGAGAAATTAAGCAAAAAAAAATTATTGAAGAGGAGAAAGGCAAACAACTGGTCACGAAAAGCCATTCTACTGTATGGAAATATAGTTATTTTTCAACTTCTAAATATAGCTATGTGATGTTTTTCTAGTTTCCTTCAGCCCTATTCAAAACATGCAAAACGTTAACTGTTATTGTTAATTAGTTATTATATTATATGTACCGTATTATGTAAGATGATGTGGCTAAGCGACGGGGTAACCTTAATTTAGCAGTGATTATTTTGACATACATGAATCGCAATAAGCAAAATAAATGAAGTGATGACAAAGGCTAGGCTACTCTCAGAGGCTAAATGGGATCTATCTATGGCAAACCTCGCATTATTGGGTGAGTCCGTCAAACCTTAATGTCTTCTTTTAAGATGTATTTGCATTGCAGTCCTGCTGTGGTGATATTCAAGTTCTGCTTTGCAATACTGACGGACGACTGCATTCGCGAACACTTCTAACGTGAAGTGCTTCCTCACAAATGATACTTTCGATCTTTATTTGGACTCTCACCCTGCATGTGCCGTCTACCCTCCGTCATATCGGCGAGTATTCGAGAAGGAAAATTTTAATCGATGCCTTTTAATAATCGATTAATCGAGTTTAATCGCGTAATAGTGACAGCTCTACATATATCTCTTGTCTTGTGTTTTGGTTTACATCGTTCTGGGAGTTAGAATTAGAATTAGCAATAACTTTTTTTCACGTCGTGATTAGATCCACCTGCGATTTGGCGCACCATGTGTAGGGCTTTCGATGGAGGGCCATTTTTAATATTACTGCATACACTAACAAAAAAAAATGCCAAACATTTCAAACTAGTCTGGAACTAGGATACATCAGAATGAAGAAAGATTCTCCTTACATTAAATGCTCCGATATTTTTACTCTGATTCGTTTACTGACAAGTAATGGAATCACAGCGTTTAGATTTATCTCTGCACTGGATAAAAGCACTCAGTTGGGCTCCTGTGGTTTGTGATATCCATTACTTTCTTTCTTGATCATAATTCAGGTGCATCAATATCAAGGCGGTGATGGTGAAATGGGAGACTAGGTCATTTTGCTTGCTTACATTTTTCATAAAGTTTGATGCCCACTGTCATTTGAGCTGTATATATAAATTTGATGGTAATGTTTTCATTATGAAGACAGGGGATGGTTCTTGTTTCTCAGGCAACATCACCAAGAAGCTGCCCCGGAGGACGGTGGTCCCCGTCAGTGACACGGCCCTGTTCTGCGTGGAGCTGCAGAAGCCCTGCGACCCTGCCTACTGGACAAGGGACGGCGAACGCCTCCAGGAGGACGGCCGCATCTCCATGGCCTGTCTGGGCCGGCAGTACACCCTCACCATGCGCAGCTGCTGCTCCGCGGACTCTGGGGAGGTCTCCTTCGTGGCCGGAGACTGCAAGACCTCCACCAGCTTCTCCGTCACGGGTGAGATGCCAGTGACTGGTGTTACCGTTCATTGCCGTGGTGTCAGTGATTTTTCTCTGTATGCAGGGGTGTAACCAGAAATTATGGGCCCCCTGACAAAATGTCACCTTGGGCTCTCCTACCCAATTTATATGTACAATTTTACATATTCAAGGACCCCTGTCAAGTGCTGGGCCCCCTGAATCTGCCAGGGTATCCATGCCCCTCTATAATAAAGAAAGAAAATATTAGATGGAATTGAAAAACCTAAAGCTAGCAGTTTAACCAGCTGGAACCAGGACTGGAATTGGGGAACTCCGCCCTAACAGCATATGTAAATGGGAAATGGAGTTCCTCGAGTGTTTGATGTTAGAATCGAGAAATGTGCACACAGCTTTCTGACGCTGTAATAGTAATAATCCCCCGTTTGGTTCTCTCTCCCTGCACCCAGCCCCCAGAAAGCATCCACCTGATCCTCCAGTCAACCCTGTGGTGCGGGACAAGACCAACTTCTCACTGATGCTGTGCTGGTCGCCCCCGGAGACGGACCGGCCCGTGCCCATCGCCGGCTACATGGTGGACCGCCGGAAAGTGGGGTCGCAGTCATGGGTCCGGTGCACCACCGCGGGGGCCATACCCTCCACCCAGTTCATGGTCAGCGACCTCCCCGAGGAGGCCGCCTACCAGTTCCGTGTCATCGCTGTCAATGACTTTGGTCAGAGTCCCAGCCTGGAGGTACCCGGAACCTTCTTCCTAGGTGGGTCTGAAAATGTTCTTTTTATATAACAAGCATTGTAATACTGGCATTTTGCACATTCTATAGCAGTCGTACAATATTTTACTCTGTAGAGTAGTCTGTATCAACAATATTTTGACATTGCTTTCTAAATTCGCTTCTAATTTAAAATACATATATGTATATATGCACGTGAATAATTTGAATGTATAAGAATTGAGGTATATGGTGTATAACTATCAGAGATGGGGACTCAAGTTTTCTACTCAGACTGCAGTCGCCCTCGAGTCCCTTTTAAATTTACTTCCGAATTTTTTACTCTGACTCAACTCTGACTTGATAGTGACTTGTGAAATTTCTACATGTGTGAAACACTGAGTGTACGACACTCCCCAAACTATAAAGGCATTAAACACATCAAGATGTGCGACTGTGCATAGAGCATAGTAACTGGAGCCGGACATGAGTGGGGTCGGGTGACGTAAACAAACAGCACGCCTTTTCTGTTTTTTCACTAATACGGACCTGATCTGACAATGCACAGGATATTCCAAATGTTATTCCGAGTTAGAAGGCATTACTGAGAAACAGGCATTGCTTAACCTGTGTCATAAATTATATATAAATTGTGTTGTTATACAGTCACACAGATCAGCACAGATTGCCTTAAATCTGATAATTTAGCAGATACGTCCCAAAAACACCTTTTAATTTCTGACATACCCTTCAAACCCAAGCTGTATTTTCTTACAACTTAAAAACTGCCCTCACCTCTTCATTGTGCCCCGCAACAGCGTGAAGTGTCATGTCTTAAATTATTTGGAGTTGTCATGGATTCATGTTTAACACCTTTTAATAAAGTAAGAACATAATGCGAGCAAATAATTCGCTTGAACAGTAATATTGCTGACCGCTCTCCCGTAACTAAATGAGCAACACGAACGCACACATTAACTTTGTAACATGGAGTTTGCGGTGATACTTACATAATCATTTATTTAATTGCAGATACACAAGCTGAGAGACAAATCAATTTTATTCATTTACTGGAGCTTTTTAATTAGAACAATGTATAAAAATGAAAATTGCAATTTACTATAAACATGCATTTACTTTAGCAGCATGACAAATGGGGTCTGAGTTATTCATTAGCCAATCACATCACTTTGACATCACTCCGGCATGGTTTGTTTTGGCTCCAGAGCAGGGTGTGGGTTTCTTCTCATTAGCTGAACGCAGTGCTCCTCAACCCTGTCCTCAGGGTCCCCCAGACAGGCCATTCAGTTCACCTTAGCATGTTTTTGGATTGTGGGGGGAACCAGAGAACCTTGAGGAAACCCCACAATGACGCAGAAAGATCATGCAAATTCCACACACATGGAGTCAGGGTAGAGACTCGAACTCAGGTCGCAGAGGTTTCAGGTTGGCGTGCTAACCACTGCACCACCACCCTACACATAGAAGCTTGTAGCCTATGGGTATAGTTTTCCCTTAGCAAAGACACCCCAGGGATTTTGCATAACCACGTATCTTACTCCCTCCAGAGCCCAGCGCACTTGTGACCACCGGCCTGCAGGGCGGCGCTGTTGTGGCAGGTGAAGAGGCTTCCTTCACGGTGGCGATGTCAGGGGTGTGCTCGGGCAGCTGGAGCCTGAACGGGCGCGTGCTGCGCAGCGGCACTGAGTACCTCATCACACACACCAAGAGCACGCACACGCTGCTCATCCATCACGTGGGGGCGGAGCTGAATGGGGCGGAGCTTAAGTTTGTGGGCGGAGGCTCAGAGACGACATGCGTCCTCAGCGTGAAGGGTGAGCTGGGAGCAAGGGGTGGGGCCAGGTTTGGCACACTGGCCATTTATTTCTCGTTATTTTCTTACGAGGATTTATATTTTCTTAAGATATTTTAATTTAGGAGTAATCGCACAAGGTCTGCAGTGTAGCAAAATGTAACCAGTAGGCAGGAGAATTTGATGCAGGTTCCTCTTCTTGCAGCTGCCCCAGCGAGGTTCACCAGCAAGTCTGCGCAGATGGAGGTTGTCAGCTGCAGTATGCACAGCTCCGGCAAACTGCAGGCAGAGGTCTCAAACGCCTCTGTCCAGGTGCGCATATCTGCTGGTGCCTGGAAATAGTAATGATGGAAGTTATGTTTGATGGAAGGATCACGTGCTGTCAATCACCCGGTCCTCTTTGTTGATTGGGCAAATTGTACAGGAAATCCCACCCACTACTTGGTCCATAGTGGTTCTTTCATTAAGTCATTTTGTTCTGTAATGCATTTTTGATGCTCTATTAATAAAGACTCCTGTTGTTTAAAAAATATCCTGTTCAGTAGTTGGGTGAACTTTCCTTTATTGAAAGGAGACCATGTGGGTGGAATGGATACCGATTGTGTCTCTCTCTGCATCTGCTGACCCAGGTGGTTTGGATGAGGGATGGCCGGGAGTTGAAGCTGGGCAAGAAGTACGAGAGCATAAGTGTGGACCGCACGCGGCTCCTGATGGTGCACGACGTGACGGAGGAGGACGTCGGCGTGTACGAGTGCGTGTGCGACGGCGACCGGGTCTCCCTGCAGCTCGCCATTAAAGGTGGGCGTGGCTTCCAGCATCAGCGTGTGCTGTCAGAAGCGGCCCGTGCACGCTGCACGGTGATGCACGCTGCACGGTGATGCACGCCACTCAGTCACGTCCACAATGCATGCCGGTGATGGTATTTAACATTTTCTACCACACACAGTAATTATAATGCTGTACCTGAGATCAGAAGCTCACCAGTTCAAATCCCTGGGCCCCCAGTGAGGTCACTGCTGGGTCCCCAATTGCTCTAGGGCAGAGGTGTCAAACTCCAGTCCTGGGGGGCCGGAGACCTGCACATTTTTGGGTTTCCCCTCATTTAACCCACCTGATTCAACTCCTTGCACCTCCTTGTGCTAATTACCACACAGTTCTTGAGCTGAATCACTATTCATTGTCCTTCAGGGTCAAGCAGACTGTAGTCAAAAAACCAACTGCTTATTGCATACAATATCTGTGGTGAAACAGAATTTATTTGAGACCTAAATTCAGAGGCAAGTGCTTATATTTATATAATTTGTGTATTTATGTTACGTTAGCAAAATATCTTGCTTTGTGGTGTTTGGCAGTAAAGCTAATACCTTTGTCGAATTTTATATTTACAAATGAACTCCTTATAGCATTTAATTTCCTGATGAATATTAGCATTTTTGTTCATGTGAACATTTTTCATCGGCACAAAGCTTTTGTTTTTGCAAACCCTAGATGCCGACTAAAAATTCTTCATCTCAGTACCATGCATGACCACTAGGGTGCGGTAACATTGGTTTGTATGTTGCCCGTATCCATGCACCGTATTTTCTGTGTCTGATGAAAGGTTCTAATTTAGCAGCTTCCCCAGAGCCGTAGAGGAAACAGAATTACACATGCTGTGTTACGGGTGACCTTTAGCACATCATGGAGAGCGCCCTGTCTTGTTTGACGCATGTATGGATTGGAGGCCTTTGACGAGGGACAGCAGGTGGCACTGAGCTCGTTGAGCCACTTGGAATGAGACGCTCGGCCCTCAGCTGTACATACATATGCACAGATGTGAGAAACCCGGCCAGACGCGCTCGCACATAACACGTCCCAGGCTGATCGCGCAATAGTTTGGATTCCAGGAAATCTTGGTTTCTTGTTTTGTGTGGCTACAAAAACGCTTAACGGTTTTGATCCATTTTGGAAAATGGATTGTTTTCATGCTTGTTGTGAACTTGGGTGCACAACTCTTTCCTTTGTGCAAATAACCAGCATGGAGTCTCGTAGGTTAGGTAATTAAAGAGTTCATGTTTGAACTAAACATTTTATAAACGGTTATAAAGTATGCCATTATTCGTATGTAGGCAGGATCCCTTTTAATCCCGGCTGACAGTATATAATGTAGGTTTTGGCAGTTTCGCAAGAAATGTGTAACAATTGTGATATGTGTTGGGCTTGTTGAGTTGTTGCACTTTAAGGTCGTCTTGGGTACTAAAAATGTAGAAATGTCATGTGAGTTTTTGTACTTCTGCATATCTAATAATTTGCAACTGAATATTTGGGTGGTGTTTTACAGATTGTGTTTGAGTTCTGCATGATTTAGAATGTTCCTGGTCCTTCATTGAATGAGCTTGATACTGGCTGGCTGCTAGCGTTGTTCTGAGACTTCAGTTGACCAGAGGTATTAGAGTTTAGCCTACTTGCCCTTGATCTATTAGAGGAGCCCGGCAAGTTTGTGAGGAAGTCGAAAGGCGGCGCCCCAGGGGTGTCGGCATCTCTCTCGGATGACCTGGTGTTGACCTGTGAGGTGACGTCCGCCGATACCGTCGTGGTGTGGAAGAAAGGTCACGTGAAGGTCGAGCAGGACCAGAGAACCGCGCTTATCTCAGAGGGCACGCAGCGCAGGCTGGTCATCAGACACGCCAAGCAGAGTGACGAGGGCCTGTACTCCTGCGAGAGTGCCACAGACAAAATGACATTCCAAGTCAAAATAAAGGGTGAGCGCAATGGCACGCATGGGATTGTGGGAGACCACGGATCGCGGGTCTTCTTGGTTTTCTGAAGGAAGGGTCAGGTGTCTTGCATAAAAGATGGTGGAAAGATTAGCTATGCTGCTTCGGTTCAGTGTCTGGAACAGATTTGAAGCAGAGCACAAATTGTAGAAAAATACTGGTGCATGTCCGTGTAATAACGATTGTTACAAGCATGCTTCCTTTGAGTGGAATTATCTGCTAAATCTGAATTGTCCTAAAATCACTTCTTGCCAATACACGATGTGCAGAAATTAAACTGTAGAACCAAGTAATCAAACTTTCTTGTGTGTACTGCTGTGTAGAGCTTTGTAGATCAGTGTTATTTTTTACTTACTTTCAGCAGTATAATTATTTCATTATAGTCCTTCTGTTTTAGTTTATTTTGCTGTTTAATGATAGAGGAAAAGGTTACACTACGACTTCAGAATCTCATAATGTTTTTTTCCTTGAGGAAGGGTTGTGCTTTTAAGGTTTTGCAGTATTTAGCTTGGCTTGCACCCCGCAGAGACAAAGTCAACGTTTGTCCGGAAGACCGTAATGAAGACTGACTTTTCCGTCTCCCGTGGAGAGACTGTGCTTCTGACATGTGAAGTAAACCACGCCGGGGCTCAAGGAAGGTGGATCAAGAATGGACAGGAAGTGAAGTCGGGTGCAGATGTTGCCGTGGAAACTGATGGCACAACCAGGAGGCTTGTTCTGAAGAATGCAAAAGTTGGTGATGCTGGGACATACTCCTACAGACTGTCCGATGACGAAATTACATTTAATGTGAAGATGAAAGGTAAGGGACAATTGGGACGTTTTTAATTCATTATTTTAATCTTTCAGTCTTGTATATGTTAAAAACCTGAATAAATTTTGGTATTCTCACTGTTTTATGTGCATACTAAGAAAAACAAAGACCTAATATATTGTAATTCCATGTTGTAGACCTGTGTGCAAACATTCTACCACCATCAGTCTCTAGATACCTAGACGCCCTTGGTTAAAGTTCTTTATTTTCAATTTGCTGCATGTGACTTATAGGTAATGTACTGGTTGCATGGTTATTGTAATAATAGTAATGAAGGACTTGATTCGTGGGTTAATCAAGTAAGTACTGTCAATCACCCAGTCCTCTCTGTTGATTGGAAAAATCCAAGCAGTATTTCAGTGTATTGGAAATCCAAATAACTGTTTGTTTCATCAGTAGTTCTGGTGCTAGCTGGAAGGGTAGATCTAGAGCAGGCTAGTAAAGCTTCTCAGTGGTCACTGTGATATTTTCTCCTCAGAAACTCAGGCCATGTTCTCCAACAAGGAGTCCGTACAGAAGGAGGTGAGAGCCACTCTCTCACAGAAGGCCTCCCTGAGCTG